AGAGAAGAGCGTGATGCGGGCCGCCGCCGACTGGTAGAGGGAGGGCCGGCGACCCCGGAGCGCTCGGAAGCGGCCGGAAAGGAGGGCCGCGTCGGCCGATCCGCCGAAGGATCGCGCGGAGGGACGCGGGCCCGGAGCGTGACGCAGAGCGGAGCGGGGGCTTCGGCTTGAGCGGAACCGGTCCGTTTCTGGACCGGTTTGGCTCGGGTCAGCCCTGAGCTGGGCGGTTCAGTTTGGAAAGCCCACTAGTGGGTTTGGTTTGGTCTTTTGCTTGCTATAAGTAGGGATTAAGGGGGGATTTCTAGGGTTATGCAAGATTTGAGTTTTCTCTTAGCCTCCTTAGTTTCTTTCTCTTGTTTTTCTAGGGTTTGTAGTGGGAGACCTTGTCCTTCTCGAAGTGGACAAATTGTATCTTGTTTCTCTTGGATTTTGAATGCAAAGGTTCTTGTTCTTCCTCTCATCCCTCTTGTGTTGATATTTTTCTTGGATTTGGAGGAGAAATTTCATCTTTGGAAGAGCATTAGGGCAAACCCTAACTTGGGAACCCTAAGGCGTATCACATTCCTCCACTTCAACCATCCAACTTGAATTCTACTGATAATATTCTCATCTATTTCACCATCACTTTGAACAATAGTGTGAATGAAAATTCTGTTTCTTCAATAAGCCTTGTACTGAGGGCATACCCAAAGATAAAGAGACTAATCCATACAATGAGCAATAACTTTGCATAAGGTAGTGAATTAACAGAACAAATATGATACAAATGCTGATAGGCTATAACCCATTATTTCTTTTGTACTGTCATGAATACTTCTTCCCGCTGACACCATAGCAAGTATAGATTTATGAATATATTAATTTTAATTCTCGTGTTTATTGATCCTCCTAGACAAATTTAATTCTCAAGTTCCACATATTTTTGGTTCCTGAACAAACTCCTTGACTAGAATGTAGCTTCCTGCAAGTCTAATCTCAGCTGTGCCAGGGTATATCTTGGCATATAAGTTTGAAGAAATTTAGTGAAGAATAATGCATGTAAAAAGTTCAGGTTAACACTAAGGGGGTAAAAAATAGGCCAGCAGATGTTGACCAGAACAAGAAATGTGCCTTTGAGAATTAGTTAATCAGATGTACAATCAAATTAATGCCATTGAGTAACTAAATGATTTGATTTCACTCTAGAAGTTTCTGTAAATTAGAACAATGAAAAATAGATTATCATGAAGATAGAGGAAAGATGCGTGAATTACCTTCTATGCAAGGAAAAAAAAAATGATATAAGTATATAACCTTACAAAATTACCTTATTGATTTTTAACCAATGACTAACACAATCTTTGTGGTATTGATGCTGGCAGGGTAATGTGATCAGCTTATCTCTGTTCTCGTAAGGCATACAACAAATCACGCATCTGCATGCAGAATACAAACATTCCATAAATGACAGTAGAACAAGCTATAAATGAATATCAGTAAAAACCAACGATGAAACAAATATATAGAAAAAACTGATTTCCATGACTAATCGCATAGAGGAACTTATATTTTCACCATATGGATTCAGTTGTGGTTGGATACAGAAGGTGATTCATAATGACAGTGACTACTATAGAAGTATTATTAACAATTAAGCATGTGGAAATGCTAAATAAAATAGAGCATAGAAAACTAAGAAATTTCATATGCTTCACTGATGATGTTATGGGCTTCATAAAGTTATCACAAGGTTCTAATGTAAATGGTTACTTGCAAAGATATTTGATACTCACACCATAATTTATTTTTAATGTATATGAAACATCCAATTCAGATGATTTCCAAATACACCGCACTATAATAAGCATTCACAATCTTCCTAAGACATATTTCGGAAACTCACTGCCACTACATTGCACTAGCGATGCTCGCCACTCAATAGCAATAAAATGAACCGCAACTGCAACGCTATTGATTCGCTCACCGGTGACACTTTCACTGCACCTATTATATCCTGCACCTCTGATGCTTGCCAGCACCACACCACGCTCGGAGGCTCGTCAACATCACCTTTGGAACCAAGCACACTCACAACCCACATGCAATCTCCAAGCAAACTCACTCACACGATGCTTGTCACTCACTACGCACCTTCGACACTTGCCACTGGTGTCGCGCCCTAGGCCATAGAGACTCATTTTAATTCAAACCAAATACAAGAAAATGATCTCATAAGTTTAATTTACAATAAATCAAACAACTTTAAATATCTCAAATATATTTTATTTACTTTACACTCTATTTAAAATACTCTCGAGAGTTAAATACTTGTACCAAATAGCCACAAATGATTCAATGTAGAAAAATTAAATTCGGATATAAATTTTGCAAATGTAAAGTTTACCAATTAAACAATTATTTGCTAACTATTAATGAAATTAAGAAAATGCAAAGAATCAATACCAAAGAATAAGTTAATGATTGAATTGGTTTAAGAAATTTGACAATAAATTGAAACCACTAAAAACATAAGTTGATTAGGATTCACACCACAAATATATATATATATATATAAAGGATATGATTAAAATCAATCACAAATATGAACTCGATAATGAATTATTTAAAAGAAAAGAAAGAAAATCAAGCCCCACATCATTAGTACAATGAGGGGATTTCCCCAAAAATTAGTAGTTATTCTTCTGCCATACTTGAAGGAATCTACATCAACCAAGCATCACAACATTGAAGGAAATTAAAAAATTTTATAAAGCAAAAACTGAATAACTAATGCATGCATCAGGCTAACTATTTATAAAGATCTCATTCACTATTCCTCTAAGCCAGTAGATGCGGCCAAGAATGGGTTCAGGTGCCATTCAATTTCAGCAAACCACAAGCAATTCTTGTTATATGTGGATAAACGCAAAACTAAAAGATGAAACAACCCCTAAACATGGAAAATCACCAAAGAAAAAAATTGAATAACCCGTCAACCATCAGAACCTGGTATACCCTAACTCAATGTGTAATTGTTAGGAATTGATCTAGTTTTAGGATAATTGTTTCATATGTTCATTTTATCCTAATAAAACTATATATATAGAGGGATTGTAATAGGCTTTAGGTGAGCAAGCCAAGTGAATAAAATTTCCTTTTCATCTATTTTGCACTCTTCCCTCCCTCTCTCTCTCTTCCAAGAAGCTCAAGTCCTAAGAATCCAACAAATGGTATCAGAGCTAGGTGAAGTTGGATGTGCGATCGGGACCAGTGGTAAGTACGCGAACAACAAAGTATGATGGTCGCTTGGAAGTGGGAGTACAGGTTAATACCGCGCGAAAGAAGGCTGCGTGGCAACTCGTTTGGCCGGGAGAAGACTCATAGCTAGATTGGGGGTTCGTGGTAGCTGGTCGGGTCATGAAATGGCTTTGGTCGTTCGTAAGATCTTGTGCACGGGAGCAACAAGGTCTTCCTAAAGATGTTTTGGCGAGATTTTGTGTACGGGAGCAGGTTGGTGCCTTGCAGGAGCAGATCGAGCGTCAAGATCAGGCACAGACTGGTTGGAAGCAGGATTACTGTCTATTCTTGATAAAAGATCTGTTTAGATATTTAAGGTGGAGTATAAGAAGCTACGATTCATGATCCTATCGATGCAAAGAATCAAAATTAACAAATTTATTGGTGAAAATGATTTCAACTTATGGAGAATCAAAATGAAGGCTCTCCTTGTTCATCAAGGAACTTCTGAGGCGATTTCCAAGGAATATCTTGTTGCCGTAACCGACAGGGCATGGGCTAGGCAAACCCAATTGATGGCTCATAGTGCGATTCTTGTATTGCTCGGTGATTAAGTGTTGAGGAAAGTATTCGAAGAGGGTTCGGCTGTATAAGTCTGGGAGAAGCTGAATCATTCTATTTGAAGATATCGTTGGCCAACCAGTCAAATCTAAAAAAAACTTTATACACATTCCAGATAAATGAAAGCAAAGACTTGAAAAAGCACATAGATGAATTTAACAAAATTATTATTGATCTCAGGAATGTATATGTCAAGATTGAAGATGAACATCAAGACATTATTATCCTAAGCTCTTTACCGAAATCATATGAGAATTTAATTGATACATTACTATATGGTAACCAGACGTTGACCATGACCGAGGTAAAGTCGATTTTGATGTCCAAACAACTTCAGTGAAGGACTGAGGATAAAAAAGAAAATGTTGGCAATATTCTGACTATAAGAGGAAGACTAGAGTTCAGCAGGAAATACTTCTATTGCCATAAAGAAGGGCATTCAAGAGATATTGCCCAGATTTCTTGAAACGGTAAGGAGCTAGGCCAAAAGAAGACGCCAACTTAGCAATGGCGGCAGGTTTGAGAGATGGATGGATTGATTCAAATGAATTGTAAAATCAGAACCAAGGAGGAGATTGTTAGGAATTGGTCCAATTTTATGATAGTTATTTCCTAGGTACATTTTATCCTAATAAAACTCTATATATAGAGAGGTTGTAAGCTTTAGGTGAGCAAGCCGAGTGAATAAAATTTCCTTTTCTTTTGGTTTGCACTCTTCGCTCCCTCACTCTCTTCCAAGTAACTCAAGGAGCTTCTTCTTCTCCCAAGTAACAGCAACTTAGGTAAATCCCCATAAGTCACAATTAGTAACACTGTAGCTATAAACCTTAAGCGATAACCTGTGAACAACAAACATGGGAACCATCAAAAACTTTGAACTTGCAACAAACAGAACCAACTAGAATATATGCCAAATCAAATAAACCAACTCCTATATAAGGAATAAGATAAACAAAGAACACATCTTGTTCTCCTAGGTATCATCATAAGCATGCTTCTATAAATTGAAATTGAAAACTTAAAAAGTAACTACAAAATAATAAAACTAAACCAGACATTGCTCAGATCATTTATTTAATTGACATTTCCAATCAATAAAAACTTATAGATCTCCATCAAAAACCAAACACGTTTTCTAGGCCACCAGAAATACTATTATGAAAGTGAATATCAAACAAATTTTCCACACAAGGAGCTTGAACTAAAATAATGATAGCTTAAAGGTACCCCTAATCATATATCTCATCATCCAAAAGTAAAACTGCGCACATAGGAAATTTCAAGTTGTTGGGGAAAAGCATACCCCAAGAGTAATGATGTTTATGAGAATGAGAAAAATAATTTGCGAGAAGAAATTCAAGAGTAGAACTCAAGAGAATTTATATGATTCAATAAGATAAAAGTTCACAAATCCGCAAGAAATATAAAATACAAATATTTTCCTCACTTCTATTTAATCTCACTAGCATTATTTCCTTTTCCACTTTCTATTTTCCCTCTTCAAACATGAGCATGATTCATCCACCGACTATGCTTTGCCTTCGATTTCCGATTGTCACCTCCATTCTCCAGTGGTCGTTGTCAACTACCCAAAAAAGATATTCCTTTGCATAAAACCAGCTACATTGCTATAAATACCAATTCTCAATCACTTCACTAGTCACTTTCCAAATGTCTACCTCTACATTTTTGCTAAATGCAGAAGAATAAGTGATTTTTTACAGCCATTAATCTCTTCTCCTTTTATAGAACATGTTATAATATGTATGAATTATTAGTTGTGAAAAAAGATTTGAGTGTAAAGAAAAACAAATCTTATACAAGACTCTTAGATCAATGTGATTGAGAGAAATTAGACTTCACACCTAAAATAAACGAAAATAAAGACACTAGATTATAAACATACTCTTCAATTTTCTCTCTTCTTGAAAATAACCCATTTTTGTATGTAGAAGTTGGCAAGTAAGATATAAGCTCATCAGATAATCCTCTGCTTGCCTTACCAATAGCTTCACCTAATGATTGCAATTCCTGGAAAAGATGACAGCGGATCATAAATAACATAGACACAACCTGACATAAATATAAGACGCAAAAAAGAGGAATGATTATGCATATCATATTTAAGAAACATTATGTAATGGTTTTGACCATCTATATAAAGGCTGTCAGCCAAACGATTGGATAAAAATATGTAGCTTGTAGTGTTACAAGATAACACCATAAGCAATTAGCCCATTTAAACTATTTTAATTGATGAAGTTCAAATGGCTCGAGCAATCTCATTGCACTTTTGCAAAATTAAATGCAAGTAGTTTGAAAAACGGCATCTCCACACACATCGTCATTCATTGGAAGAAATACACAAACATCTAACATCTGTAAATTTGGTTTCAATTCGCATATGCAAATGCCATGTATTCAACAAGCTTACACTTTGTCTGTTTAAAATTTTATCTTTAGAAAATCCTACAGCATTACAGCGGCAACAACCATAATTCCTAGATATTAATAGCATGAAGCACCTCTATGAGCACCTGAAATAGGTGGATTATCAGATAAATCAAACGTCAGATCTAGGTTCGATGAAATATCATTTGGAAATCAAAAACTAAATTTCACAGGAACTACTTAAAAATAATTAATAATGAAATCATATCGATTGAGAAGATGAAATACGGTTACAATGTCCTTTTGAGAAGTAATTCTTAATTATTAGCAAGGAAATATGGTGCTAATAGAGTAATAGCATGCTTGCCTGAATAGTATATGGAAGAATGTGCTAATCAGATAGATCAAACATTATATCATATCCAGGACCGACAAAACATCAATTGTAAATTAAAAGTCAACTTGGATACTTTAAAATAATTAAAAATGAATTTCATTTAGGAAATGAATTAACGGTCTATTATGAACAATTATAGCTTTTTGTAAAAGTGATTGTAAATTTATTGTGGGAAATATAATATTTTTTAAAGTTTCTATAGATATTATAAATATTTTCTTTTTTTGACAAAATCGGACATGGACTTTCTTATGACTACTTTTTTGACAAAGTCAAACAATAGCTTTCTTATAGCTACTATATACCAGTAGATCTTGTTGTAAAAAGTAGCTCCCCACCACAGAAATTAATGAAAAGCAACAATAAAATAACAGTCATACAGAAATGTGGTAGTAGTCTGAAGAGCAAAATAGTGAGAAAGGTGCTCTAAATAAATTCTTAATTTACAGCTTTTTTTTAAATAGGTGCTTCTAAATTATGAAAGACAAACACACCTCATAAGTCATATTATCTGGGTCAACATTATCCTGCCTATCAACCTGCCCAATATTTAAGATATAATTGAGTTTCTTTTAGAGAGGAGAATATACAGAAAGAGACCGAAGGGAAATGTATTATGACTTATGATGTACTATTGATAGAACCCAGTCACCTGAGTTGCGGTGTTATTGGCAGAAGTGCCTTCACTGTTTGATGTAGCAGACTGTGCACGAGCAAAATCTTTGAAGAATTATTACCCCAAAAGAGAGGACAAAGAGTCAGCTTTGTCATTAATAGAGCACAAAAGTTAAGCTTAAGTTGGTAAAGCTAAATCTCTCAGTAATGGCCCATTCTCATTACTAAATCACTTATAAAATATTCCAAGAAAAACCATGAAGAAATCTCTTTAGTGAGATAACCATATGAAAGTTCATTTTCATACAAACATACCAGTTCCTGTTGCAGAAGTTCTGTTGAGGGAAGCATAAGAAAGTTGATTCTCTAACTCTTGCAATTCTCTGGCATACTCTTCATCCATGGCCAACTGAGAGTCAACAATTACAGTTTGAGAAGAATTTTCACGGCTCTGAAGTCTACCATCACGATCTCCCATGGTAGTGGTGCTCGAAGAATTGCCTGTATCAAACTGGCCATCCCTTTGCAACGACTCATAGACAGTTTCCTGCCAAATATTGTTTGCAGTATTTCAAGAAAATTTAGTTGAGCATGCTGCAGGATGACTGGTGACACAAAATGACTCAGGTTTAGGATTTTCTAATACAGCTAATATAATGTGTGAGTTTCTATAATAATAATAATAAAGAATTCACAATATAACAAGCCACAAATTAATTCAACTTACTTTCTTTAGATATAAACAAATATTATCATATATAAATCCTAATTAATAATGAAAGGATAAAAATAATGTGGGAAATTCAACAAGGAATTTAGAAACACTTAAAATCAGCGATAAGACTAAATTTAATATCCATAAATTGGATTTTCGATGTCATATTTTGATCAAAATCATGAGTACTAACTAAAGATACATCAAATAATATAAACGAAATAGAATAAGGAAAGAAACTATCAAATTAAGAAAATCAGATCTCATGCCGATACAGATAGATGACTTTCCATGATATCACATAGTCGCACTTATACAGTGTTGGGGATGCGGAAGTAAACCACACAACAAAATAAATAAGAAAAATAGAATGCAGCGAAACAAAAAGGATATAAGGATTTAACGTGGAAAAATCCGGAATCAGAAAAAAAAAAAAAACTACGAAGTCACACCACATCAAGAAATCTACTATAAAAATTGGAAGAAATAAGTATAGATCTCTCCTCTCTCACTCTCTCCTTGTTTCTCTTCTCACTTACATTGTTCTCACACACTAAACAAAAGAGAAAAGCCTCTATATACCACCAAGGGATGCCACCCTTGAGAAAACGAGAAAGAAAATTGTTAAGTGTCGCTTGAAGTGTTGCGACGCTCAACACTCTACCTCCAGTCTATCTAACAACACTACGAAGCTGAATTTAGAGCGTTCCAGTGCTCCGTTCTATGTCATTTCTCCTAGCAAACTTTTACAGCGTCAGGGTGCTCATGTACATAACGTTGGGGCGTTTGCACCCAAACCCATGCAGAATTCAAGGAATTAATAGTGGGCTCATGAAATAATATTAAATTAGACAATGAAAGCTTAATTTATATCAAAATTTCTTGGAGTTTCTATTTGTCTGCATTAATTTTAATGTGTTGCATAATTTTTCTTTGATGCTTCACCCTCTCATATGTTTCCAAGTAGTGTCGAAATCGAGTAATCCCCTCCATCCCCCCTCTCCTGATCTCATCCCTTTTAGCTCCAATGGTTCTAACACCACTTCCAACTCCTCAGTTTGTGACACTAGTAATGTTGCACTTACTGCATGCTCCTTAGAGTTCTCCTTAACTGAGATGCATGAAAAACTGGGTGTATGGTGGCGGTTGGGGGCAAGTTTAAATGGTATGTCATTGCTCCAATCTTTTACACTATCTCGTAGGGGCTAATTTCTCATTCCTTATGTTGGTCAATGTTCTCTGTCTGTAAGGCCGCAGTTTTAAAAACACCCTCTCCCCAATTTCGAACTAGATTTCTCTCATATGTGTATCTGCCTGTTTCATTATGATCTAATGTGCACTCAATAGGTGTTTCTTCAAGTCCTACAATACTCTATCCCTTTCTTCCAAATATTGTTCTACTAAAGAGACTGGTGTGCTTCCTTGCCCAAAGTGCACTAAGTGTGATGGGTCACTGCCATACAGTACTTTGAAAGGGGTCATATGAGAAGTTGAGTGGTACGAGGTATTGTACCAATACTTGGCCCAAGTAAACGCTTAGCCCACATTCGTGGTGTTTCAAAAGCAAAACACCTCAAATAACTCTCCAAGCTTCTGTCGACTACCTCCATTTGCCCATCCATCTGAGGGTGGTAGGTTGTGCTCCTCTTAAGAATCAAACCTTGCAACCTGAGCATTTCCCTCCAAAACTGGCTGAGAAACATCTTATCTCGTTTAGAAACTATCAATTATGAAACCCCATGTAATCTAAGCACCTCCATAATGAATGTTGTAGCTACTGTCACTGCGATGTAGGGATGTCGTGAGGGAATGAAATGCGCATATTTTCTCATCCTGTCAACCACCACCAAAATAACTGTGAAACCCTTAGATCGTGGTAGGCCATCTATGAAATCCATGGACACCTCCCATACCATGTTTGGAAGTGCTAAGGGTTGCAGTAATCCCCCTAGAGCCATAACTATGTACTTGTTTCTCCGGCACACCTCATATTTTGCCATCATCTCCTCCAAATCTTTATGCATATCCTTCTAGTATAATTCAGCAGTCAGTCTTCTGTAGGTCTTTTATGCCCCGGAATGGCCTCCAACCGCACTCCTATGGAACTCGTGCAGTAGGTGGGGGATATGGATGGAGGTTCGGGGCATCACAAATCTCCCTTAGTACAATAGCCTATCTCCTCGAGGGAGTAACCTGAGTGGCTGCTCCTATCCTTTAGCAGATCCATCAGAATCTTCTTCAACACTCAATCCTGCACACTTTCTTCTTTGATAGCCCCTCAATCCACCATTAGGGGTACTGAAATGGTCATCTCCTGGAGCTCTCCTCCACACCTGGATAAGACATCAGCCACCTTATTCTCCAATCCTGGTTGGTACTGGATCTTGAAATTGTATCCCAAGAGTTTGGACAGCCACCTCAGATGTTCCTCAGTCACCATTATCTACTCCAGCAGATATTTCAAGCTCCTTTTATCTGTGCTAATGATGAAGTGTCGACCTAGAAGGTATAGACATCACTTCGAATGGCTAACATGATGGCCATCAATTCCCGTTCATATACAGACTTCAGTTTGGCTCTAGCTATCAACACCTGCTAAAATAGGCCATGCACTGCTCCCAACCCATATCCATATGCATCAATCTCCACCACAAAAGTCTGACTAAAATCTAGTAAAGCCAACACTGGTACTATGTGTTGAGATAGTTGCTACTTAGTTTTGCATGTTTAATATTCTTGCAACTTGTATGTTTTTTATGATTCCAAATATTATTGATTTTGTTATTATATCTCCTAACATATTTTGGAAGAATTATTTTGCTCTTGTGTGTACTAACATTTTAGGGAAATCATACTCTGGATTATTGAAGACTTCAAATCAAAAACAGTTTATAGTTTATTGTAATTGAAGTCTGTATTTTTTATTTTATTGAGTTTGAGAAAGTGTGATTATAATTAAGTAACTGAGCACACACACACCGGGGGAGAGTTTAAAATTCATATTTTTTAAACTAATCGTACTGTATGATATCACTTCGTACGGGACGATCTGGTCAGTTATTTTCCCCGATGAGCAGTCGAACGAACATAAATGAAATTTTTTCTAAGTTTGGATCGTACGAGATGATCCCAGTTCGTACATGCTTTCACGAGTACGAATGTCTCGGGTCCGTTCTCGCTTTAAAAAATTTTTCTAAGTATGGAACGTACGGGACGATCCTAGTTCGTACAGGCTTTCATGAGTACGAACGTCTCAGGTTCTAGGTTGCATAAAAATATTTTTTCTAAGTATGGATCGTACGGGACGATCCCAGTTCGTACAGGCTTTCACGAGTACGAACGTGTCAGGTTCCAGGTCACGCAAAAAGATTTTTTCTAAGTATGGATCGTACTGTACGAACCAAGTTCATACATGCCTTCCAGAGTATGAAAATGTGAGGTCCCATTTTGTCCCGACGTTTCGTTCAGACAAAATTTGAAAATTTTCATACTGTTCATCCTAGACGAACTTGGTTCATACCGGACGATGATTGGGTACGAAATGATTTCGTACCGATTCATAACAGGTTCGTATGCAACAGTATTTAAACTGTTTTTACGTACGATACGATCGTATTGTATGATCGTGTACGCTCAAAATTGATAAATTCAATTTTCTGGATGATTTTTTGTGTCTTTTGTATAAAAGGTCCATTAAGAACTGACGTAGAAAGTCTTGTCTTCGTGATTTTTTAAGGGAAATTGAAAGAGGGAGTGTTTGAGAGAGATTTCTTGCTAGTGAAGGGTTCACAAGGTTACTCAAAGGTAAGGATCTCTATGTGATTTGTATTTTTCACTCTTCCTCTTGTCTTTCTAGATTGCTCGTGAGAAGATCTTTGAAAAAGATTCGGTTCTCTGCCGACACTTGGAGAGTGTGAACAACCGACGATTCTCTGCCGACACTTGGAGGGTATGAAATGACGAAGGATCTCTGCCTACACTTGGAGAGTGTGAACAACCGACGGTTCTCTGCCGACACTTAGAGAGTGTGAACAGCCGAAGGTACTCTGCCTACACTTGGAGGGTGTGAAAGAACGAAGGTAATCTGCCTACACTTGGAGGGTGTGAAAGAACGAAGGTACTCTACCTACACTTGGAGGGTGTGAAAGGACGAAGGTTCTCTGTCTACACTTAGAGGGTGTGAAAGGACGACAGTTTTCTGCCGCACTGGGGATTAGTGGAAGAAAGTTTTGTAAAGGCTTCTCCGCCTTACTGTGGGGGCAAAAGGAGAGTCACTTTTAGTAATAGTGCAATACCTAAAGAGGAAGTCTTCAGGGAGTAGATGTAGGTCGTGTTTGACCGAACCACTATAAATCTTTGTATCGTTTAAATTTTTGCTGCTTACTACAAGTTTTTAGTTTCGTGGTTGAAAAGTTTTATTTTGAAACTTTAATTAACTTACTTTGTGAATCAATCGGTTTCAAATTTTAAAATCCACGAGAATTTTTAAAATTATCAATTCACTCCCCCTCTTGGTTAGCCTTGGGACATAAGCTTAGGTTTAACAACCTATTCAAGATTCAACACTATGGTCATTACCTTCTTAAATTTCTCAAAAGCTTGGGTAGCCTCTTCTCCCCACAAGAAGCAATCCTTCTTTAACTGCTCTGTCAAAGGTAGGCTATGTTGATATACCCCTTCACAAACCTTGAGTAGTAACCCGTCAATCTTAGGAAACCCCTCAACTCTCTGAAGTTCCGAAGTAGAGGTCACTTCTGTATTGCTTCAATTTTGGCTTGATCGGCTACTACCCCCTCCTAAGATACCACATGCCCCAAGTACTCCACACCGGT